AGTAATAAGACCATGAAGAAATCCTTCTCTGATTCAAGCCTTCATACCTTGATAGTGGTATCAGAGCATACCTTCTCTCACGAGATCTCTGATCCTATGGCTACCCGTGACGAAACTCCCAACTCAGCAGCATCCAAACACTTAGCCGTAACCATGCTTGAACCCAACATCACCCGGAATCCAATTTCCTTTAACTCTGCAGCTTTTCCCGTCAAACTCACACCCAACAACTATCTCTCTTGGAAAGCTTAGTTCGTGTCGCTTCTTAGAGGCTATGAACTTGATGGTTTCCTTGACGGATCTCATCCTTGTCCTGTAGCAACTGAGCCCACCTATAGTTTGTGGGCACGCCAAGATCAGCTCCTCCATCATGCCTTAATTACCTCTGTTTCAGAGAACATCACTCCTTACATAGCTACTGCTACCACTGCACAGCAAGCCTGGGAAACCTTAGCCAAACTTTATGCCAATCGCTCTTGCACACGGGTCATAACCCTTAAGGAACGGCTCCAAACCATGAAACATGATGGTCATCCAGTTTCTGACTATCTTCGCTCTCTGAAAATTGTGGCAGACGAGCTTGGCACTGTGGATTGTCCCCTTTCTGATGATGATCTCACTGTTTATATACTCAATGGGCTAGGACCGGAGTTTTGGGAAATTGCTGCTTCCATTCGGACTCGTGACTCATCTCTTTCTTTTGATGATCTACATGACCGATTAGTGGCCCATGAAGAAAGTTTACGCCGCGACGAAGCTCAGATTGACACCTCCCCACTAATAGCTTACTTTGCCTCTAATGTTGGATTAACATCATCTACCTCTTCTAGTGTAGGTCCATTTCCTACCTCTAGTTGACAATCTCAATGGCATTCCCAACAACATCGCGGATGGGGAAGTTCTAATCAATCCAATAGGCCCAATCAACATCGATGTTGTGGACAAGGCCCAAGGTATCCAACTCGGCTCATTGGATCCACTTGCCAATTATGCGGATATGCTGGACATTTGGCTCGAAATTGTCCCAGTTTTTGGGTCCAGTCCATTGGCCCAATGGCTAACTTTGCGTCCTTTTCAAATGGTTTTCTTGATGACTATTTGTTGGACTCTGGTGCTAATAATCATGTTACAACAGACTTGGCCAACTTAGCACTTCATTCTGAATACAATGGTCTTGATGAACTACAAATTGGTGATGGAACAGGTTTGAAAATCACACACGTGGGTCACTCCACCCTACACACACAAAAGTCCTCTTCACCTCTTCATAATGTCTTATGTGTTCCATCCGCCTCTCGCAATTTAATTTTTGTTTCTCAACTATGCAAAATTGCTAATGTTTATGTTGAATTTCACTCTAATTATTTTTTGGTGAAGGACTCTTGCACGAGGAAGATACTGCTTCAAGGACCAAACATTCATAGAATCTATCAAATTCAAGGAAAAATTAGTCCTCAACCACAAGCCTTCATAGGAGAACGCACTACCATGGCGAATTGGCATTCTTGTCTAGGTCATCCTTCCATCAAGACCCTAAAAAATGTTGTTACTTCCTTTAATCTTCCATTATCTAATAAAATCAATTTTTCTTCATGTGATTCTTGCTCATGCTCTAAGAGCCATAAATTGCCTTTTTCCGAGTCATCCATCACTAGTACTACACCATTTGAACATGTTTTTTCCGATGTGTGGGGCCCTGCCCCTGTTACTTCAATTGATGGTTTTAATTATTATGTGTTGTTTATTGATCATTTTAGTCGATATATTTGGCATTACCCACTCAAATGCAAATCTGATGTATTTTCTGTTTTTCAAAAATTTAAATTATTGGTTGAAAATCAATTTGATAAAAAAATCAAGAACCTTCATACTGATGGCAGGGGCGAATATGTGGCTCTTCGTCTTTTTTTATCTCAACATGGCATCTCACATTTTACTACCCCACCATACACTCCTGAACTTAATGGCATTAGAGAGCGTTGGAATCGACATATAGTTGAATCTAGCCTTGCTTTATTGCACATTGCATCTCTTCCTTCTAGTTTTTGGTCATTTGCATTTCTCACAGCCACTTACCTTATTAACAAACTCCCTTCTCAAGCCATTGCACATAAATCTCCTTTTGAAAAATTGTTTCGTCTTAAGCCAAATTATCATAAACTTCGGGTTTTTGATTGTCTTTGTTTTCCATGGCTTCGACCCTATAACTCCAACAAGCTTCAATATTGGTCTCGCCCTTGTTTATTTGTTGGATATTCCTTTGAGAATTTGAATTACAAATGCCTTGATCTTTCTACAAAAAAGTGTTTTATTCTCTGCATGTTATTTTTCAAGAGCACACCTTTCCTGCACCATTTAAACATCGTGTCTTCAGCAACCTAATTTCAAGTTGGATAGCCTAGACGATTTGCCATCGCCACCTGCTGTCTCTGCTGTGGCTCCTCATGAATCTTTGGTTCACGAAGCTGTCCCTCCTGCAACAGTCCGCACCTCCCAACCTCCTTTTACCTCACTAACCCACCCCGCCTCTACTCCTCAACCCGAATCCCAACAGCCACATGCACCCACCTCCACTGCTTCCCCATCTCTCCCTACACACTCCCCTGAGCCTCTCATTGAGCCCATTCCCCAACCTCAACCATTGCTACCTCCGGAGCCCATTCGAACTCACCCCATGCTTACCCATTCTCGAAACAACATCTTTAAGCCTAAGTTAATCCACCAGGCCATCTCCACCTCTCCTGTTCCCATTTGTGAACCCATTTGTGTTACTCAAGCACTGAAAGATCCCAATTGGCGGAAGGCTATGTCTGATGAATTTAGTGCTTTGGTTCATCAAGGACCCTGGGAATTAGTTCCTTCTACTCCTGATCAGCACCTTCTTGGTTGTAAGTGGGTGTTTCGTATTAAACGAGCCAAAGATGGTAGCATTGAATGCTACAAAGCACGCCTTGTTGCTAAAGGCTTTCATCAACATCTAGGTTCTGATTATTTTAATACTTTTAGTCCGGTGATTAAACCTACTACCATTCTCACTGTTTTGTCTATTGCTGTTAGCAGGAACTGGCCTATTCGTCAATTGGATGTCAACAATGCCTTTTTGCATGGGCATCTTGAGAAAAAATTGTTCATGGCACAACCAGTTGGCTTTGTTGATTCTGCTCTTCCTCATCACGTGTGCCGGTTGCGGAGATCTATTTATGGGTTAAAACAGGCTCCACGGGCGTGGTTTCGGGAACTCAAGCAGTTTATTATCTCTCAAGGATTCTCCCATTCTCGCTCCGATTTCTCTTTGTTTGTTTATCACCGGAATTCGACCTGGATATATTTCCTTGTTTATGTGGATGACATCCTCATTACTGGTAGTGATCCCTCTGCTGTGTCTTCTCTGATAAATTGCATGAGTACTAGATTCGCAATTAAAGATTTGGGTACTCTTAGCTATTTTCTTGGGATTGAAGTAGTTCCCACTAGTGCAGGACTCTTCCTCTCTCAACACAACAATGTTAATGATCTACTCCATTGTTTTCGAATGCATGAGGCTAAGCCGGTTGCCACGCCACTTGCTACTAATACTGGTCTGCAGCTTTTCTCTGGCACTGCTATTTCAGATGGCTCTGATTACCGGCGTCTTATTGGTTCCCTACAGTACCTCACTCTCACTTAACCTGACTTGTCATTTGCTATCAACAAATTAGCTCAGTTTATGCATCGACCCACAGAGTTGCATTGGCAGGCAGCAAAGCGACTTCTGCGATACTTACGCGGTACTCTGTTTCACGGGTTGCTTTTTTGACCTCAATCTTTTCTCAACCTGCATGCTTATTCGGATGTGGACTGGGCTGGAGATCGGGATATAATGGTTAGCACCACTGGGTATATAGTTTTTCTTGGTCAGTATTCGATCTCTTGGCGAGCTGCAAAGCAAAAAGCTGTTGCTCGAAGCTCCACCGAGGTTGAATATCGTGCTCTCGCTGCTACAGCCTCTGAAGTTGTCTGGATTCGACATTTTCTTGGTGAACTTGGGATCTCTTGCTCCCCATCTTCAGCCATCTTTTGTGACAACATTGGCGCCACCTATCTTAGCTTAAATCCTGTTATGCACTCGCGCATGAAGCATATAGCTATAGACCTGCATTTTGTT